TTTACCTCCACTTGCCAATAACCACTTTTCAAATCAAGTGTTGAGAACCATTTTGTGCCTGATAACGAGTCCAGTGTATCATCGATTCTAGGTAGTGGATAACTGTCTTTCTTCGTTACATCATTCAAGGAACGCTTCGAGGAGCCTGGTGGATTGGTCTTGCATCACCTGTGTTAATGAAATGTTTCACAACATTGGTTCTTCCTGGTTTGGCATCGTCTTTATCAAATATAGATGAGTATCTGAGAAGAAGTTGTTTAGCCATAGTTTTATAGACTCGATATATCGTTTTCGTCCATGGAATCTTCCTCAAGACGTATTTCGCAATTTATCACGGCCTCAATCTCTTGACACTGCCCTAATATAGCTCCTTTGGAGAGTTTAATTCGTAACTTGCACTCATTAAGTACTCTTACTGGAACGCGTTTATCTTGTCTTGTCATAGCCAGGGTTTTGCCTATGAGTAAGTTTGGTGTAGATTCTTTTGTGGCTTCAACAATCCACCACTTGTTTGACCCATCTATTTCTGCCCAAATAACTGCTTCTGATGTTGGTGGAATCTGCTGACTCTCTGTTGTTATCACTCGACTAACGTTGTACTTATTGTCGTAACCGAACATAAGTGGCACTTCCATATTTCTATAGGACATAATCCTGTTTTTCATGTTAATTTTGATTCCTTGATTCGCTAGAAAGTCTACTCCAATTATGACTTCATCAACGATATCTGCCACTATAAAATTGTGTAACACGGCTGCCTTTCCAATTACGATCTCGCACGTTACCTTTCCGAGAACTAAGGTATCTTCTCCAGCTGCAGTACGTAACTTTGCCCCAGCAAGTTTTCGTGTCCTCTAGTATTCCATGGATTTATGTGCATAAGCTAAGTGAGCTAACCTCTCAATCTCTGCAGAGATTCATTGGCTTTCTGGCGGCGATTTCGCAACTCGATTTGAAAGATCTGCTTCCTGTGCTCACTACCATACCGTCTTTCTAATGCACCCATCAACGTTTCATAACTACTCGCCTCGCAGTTTGGAATGGTCTGTAATATCTCTGCTTCAGATCCTTTTAATGCAACGAACAATGCAGCTACTTTATTCAGTAATTCAGTTTTTAATCCATTTGTCGCCAAACCACGTTGCTCCAGCTCCCTTTTAAGTTTGGAATCTTCAGATCGTTAAACTTGGCCATTTTCAAATAATTATCTCCTTGGGAATTTATTTGACAATCCCACTTCTGACACCAATTGTAACGGATTTCTCGATAAATCGTCTAACTATAACTCACTCTTAAGCTCGATCACTGGATTGTTAAATTAAAGTCCCAATTTAATGTTATACACTTATCTTTATTTCCAATTCCAACAACTTAACACTAATTGCTCGCTATTCGAACTTACAACTTATTGCTTATAGCTTAATTGCTCTTTACACGGCAACACTCTAATTAGAACTGTGTCTGCTGCACAATCCGGCAGCCCTTATATAGTAAATTTTTAACAAATGTTCGCTACTACAACATTCTGGCAACTACGAATTCGCTGTCTAGTTGCTTCTGGCAGTTTATCGTCAATTCTGATTTGTTCTATACTCGTGTTCGCCACAATAAGAATTATTTCTTCTTCGTTTTCTTCTGCAGCGTATTTGGAATTCATGATATTCTTGTTTGGACCTAGGATAATTGACAAGTTTGCTACGTGGTACAAATGGGTCGTATTTTCAAATAGGTAGACCGGATCGGTCTTTGTTAAGACATACTTCTTGAATTAAAGATCTGTGATTAGATCGGAATGGAACACAACAAATAATAAAAATAATTTTCCCTCTCGCTGGAAAGATTGAGTCCCCACGATCTTCCGTAACTTTGTGATTATATCGTTTAGCAATTTTATTCCTACGATCTGTTTTGGAACATATGAGATCTCCTGGTTTATACGTGATGTTTTTTCGTCCCTTGTTGTGGTATAGCAAAGCTTATCCTGATTGTGCTGAAGGATTTCTTTAATCTTTGGATACTTTTCGCGATTAAAGAAGACTACTTCAGGTTTGAGTCCTGTAGACAAGTGGATTGTAGAATTATACTGTCGGAAGGCGTTAAAAAGTTCTTCACCTGGAGTAGTATTATTTTTACTAGCTAAACTCATACTGATTTCAATCAACGTACTGTGCAACCGTTCTACTTGAGCGTTAGTTGTCGAGGGATTTAATGGTGTGGCAGTATGTTGTATATGTAGTCGAGTATAAACGGCCTTTGTCATGTTGCTGATAAATACATTTTCGTTATCAGTCATTAAGTGTTTTGCATTTGGATACACTTGTGTAAGTATTTCCAGAGAACGTAAAATATAGAGAAGGTCCAACTACGGACCAGCGTGTGAATTGTCAAAACCTAACAAAATGCGATGAGCGTGTTTCACCACAGTCGGCTCGGAAGGAGAAATTTTAACAGTGACGAGTGAACAGAGCTGAGCATTGAATAAAAATTATGCTCAGAGACTTGCGTTGATTTTACAGCCGCATGTTACTCTTTTGGCTAATATTTTTATACGCGTATATGCAATCATATTTATTGATATGAATATCATTTTGCGAATTTTTATGATACCATGCAAAACTGATAACATTCTAATAAAATTATGTAATTTTAAAAATATTATATATAGTCAATTTGGGAATTTAATGATTTTATTTAGTTTTTACATGATATACTTTCCTAATAGAAATTAAATTTATTACAATATATGTATATGTACATATGTACATCTTTTATCATATTAATCTTATATATAATCATATGTACATATATCTGCACAAGCACATTTGAATGTGCGGATTTAGAAATTCAAATCATAATTTTATCATATATCAACACAATATATGTGCGCGCATTGATTTATATGTACACACATTGACATATGTATGTATAAATGACATTGCCGAACAAATAATGTATACACAAACCAACCTACATATGTATGTCTATGCGTACATATGTATATATGTCACCCGCAAAAACTACAAACATTGTTCTACAAAAACAATAATCATGACAAGTCAATATGTCAGCCAAATAGCCGAATCCCAAATTTATAGTGTTTAGGATTATTTACATTAGTTTAAGATTATTTTCTGATAATGTCAACTCTAATCTGGCAATACTGTCTTATCTAAGCTTTATATTCGTCATCTCTCTTTTATCATTCATTTATCTTTATAATTATCTTTGTTTACGCATACTTAAAGTTGCGGTATTTTAAATTCCGTTGAACTGCTATAAATGTCAGAGGACTTGTGTGTACGACTCTCTTCTCTGATTGTAACTTGGTGCTGATTGTATTCGTCTCTGGTTTGGTGTCAAGCCAACCGGTCACAATCGTTAAAATCCCAATAAAGCATTGAGAACTCTACCCGCTGGTAATTTAATTATTTAACATTTTGGTGCCTCCTGTGAGGACAAATATTTTAATTTCATTTTGTAATTGCGGTGGTCTGGTTTCATGGCGGAGCTCAATTGGCGTTCATCGGCGGTGAAAGCAATAAAGCGCATACATGCACGTGTCTCGGAAGGTGTCATGGAAGGTCGTGATGTGTTTCATTTTCAACAAGAGCTCAAGTTGCTTGAATCACATTTTGAGCGCTTCATGGAGAACCATAATCGTCTGGTAGGAGGAGCTTCGTCCTCCGAGATTGGGTCACATGATGCACTTTTGGAATCAGTAGAGGAGCTGTATACTGCGGCATGCAGTAGACTGAATCGTCTCATCGCATCGTCAAGGGTTGAATCTCATGTCGCTGACGGAGCGCACAATTGTCCCACAACATCTCTGGATGGCCATTTGGTGGATCTCAAATTGGACCCGTTAGCTATCCCGTTATTTGATGGAGACATGTGTAAATGGTTAGCGTTCAAAGATGCCTTTGAAACAGTGGTACATAATTCGGCATACCCAGAAGCGTTCAAATTGGGAAAACTTCGTCAGGCAGTCAATGCGGCTACTGTTCCGTTAATTGGGGGAATATACTCGGGTGGCTATCAAGAGGTGTGGAAAGCTCTAAAGGACCGCTATGACAATAAAAAGCAGCTAGCGGAAATACACGTATCCCGTTTTCTTAACCTTAAAACAGCTACCCATGAGTCATCACAATCGTTATTGGCTATTGTGGACACGGTTCATGAGTCGCTGCGTGCATTGCGTGTGATGGATATCCCCATATCTCAGTGGGATGCGTTAGCTGTACCAATAGTGGTGGCAAAGCTTCCATCGGTAACTAAGAGAGATTGGTGTATGAGGTGCTCCACTAAAGAAATTCCACAGTTAGAAGACCTATTGAAATTTCTAGAGAGACGTGCTCATAGCCTTGTTACTGAACCACCGTCAGCAATGACCAGTGAGGGCCCATGTGGCTACCACGGAGGCAGCTCTGTGTGCTCATTGCGGGTTAGCGCATCGAATCGCCAGGTGTCCTACATTATTGGCTCTTAGTATCGAGCAGCGATTTGAAGCCCTTAAGAAAATGCAGATGTGTTACAACTGTTTACGTACAGGTCATTCTTATCGACAGTGTCCATCTAGTAGCTGTCGAAATTGTGGACGTAAGCATAACACGATCCTATGCCGAAACAAGTCCATCAACACGTCAACGTTTGCTTCTACGACTACGGCAGCCGCAGGCAATGAGGTACCTGCGGAGGTGCCGACAACCACAACGGCATGACTAGCCGCACCTGCGAGGCCCCTCGCTGCCAATCCAAAGCCGATAACCCTTTTAGCAACAGCGCGTGTATATGCAGTTGGAGAAGCATCGGTGCAGCGAGTGGCACGAGTTCTATGCGATCCCGGATCACAGGTTAGCTTTGTGACGGATCGTCTAGCGAATTGTTTGCAGCTATATCGACCGAAATGTGATGTGAGGGTAGAAGGCGTAGGTGCTACCATCAATACTCGAGTGAAAGGCAGCGTTACGTTCACTCTGAGATCAACAACAACTAACTTTGAAATGCGAATTGATGCTTTGGTTTTATCGTCCATTACTTCTCCAACTCCAGCAGTAAAGATTGACATAAACCAATGGCCATATTTGAGAGACATAGATTTGCCGGACAACCGTTTCGGTACGGACGTGTGGGGGCGACTCATTGAAGGTAAAGTCATCGGTGGAGGACCAGACGAACCTTTTGCCCAGCGTACCCGCTTTGGATGGGTGGTGTTTGGCCCAACAGCAGTGACCCTTCCTGCAAAGGAATCATTGCTCACCCTAACCACTTCGCTAGACAGGGAGGACCACCGGTTGGAGGAACTGGTGTCCAAATTTTGGCAAATGGAGGAAATAGCAGTGGTTGACGATCTGCCAGAGAATAAATGTGCGCAGATCTTCGAGACCACTCATAGCCGTACCTTAGACGGCCGTTATATCGTACACTTACCTTTGCGACGAAAAGCAACGGAACTAGGTGACTCTTACGCACTGGAATTACGGCAATTTCATAGACTGGAGCGTCACATGGTTGCGGATCCAGTCCTTAGGGAAAACTACATTTCATTTATGAGGGAGTATGCAGCACTCGGACACATGGAACTAGTACAACCATCATGCGGTCACAACGAAGTTTCGCGTGGTGTTCAACGCTTCGGCACCTACCAGCACTGGAATCTCACTGAACGATGTTCAACTGGTAGGTCCGACCCTACAGGATTCGCTGAGTAGTATACTTTTACGTTTTCGGCGCTATCGAGTGGCGATAACTGCGGACATAGAGAAGATGTTCAGGCAAGTATTGGTTGCATCTGAACATCGCGACTATCAACGAATTATATGGCGAGAAACTCCTGCCGACGAGATCCAGGTGTATCGCCTGAAGACCATCACATATGGCATGGCATGCAGTCCTTACAATGCAGTACGAGCCCTACAACAATGTGCTTATGATAATTCAGCTGTGGTTCCCGAAAGACAACAAGGGACGCGGGCTCGAGCTGCGATATTAACCTCGTTTTATGTTGACGACTCCTTAACGAGTTGTGAAAGCGTTACCGAAGCAGTGGAGCTGGCTAAGAACGTGGACGCCATCTTATCTGCGGGACAGTTCACTCTAAGAAAATGGAACTCGAACGATAGTCAGGTAATGATTCGTTTATCTAATGAGCCGTCACTTTCTAATTATGTCTTCCATGCTGGTGAGGCTTCCGTTTTGGGCTTAAGATGGGACGCACTGGAGGATCAGTTATTCTTTCGCGTCGATTTATGTCAAAGAGTAGAAATTCCAACGAAGCGCCGTGTACTCAGCGAGGTGGCACGACTCTTGGATTCTTATCGCCTGTTATCGTAACAGGGAAAATATTCATTCAGCGACTATGGTCTGCGGGTCTATCCTGGAACTCACCGTTACCTGATGATCTTTGCCGCGAATGGCTGAAGTATCGGTCACAGCTTCCGGAACTCAATCAAATTCGTATCGAACGGTGGATGGGAATGATTCCACGCGTTCAGACATCATTTCATGGGTTTTGCGAAGCCAGTTCACATGCTTATGCAGCAGTTATTTACGCGAAGACGTCGAACACAAACGGTTCGATGCGTTTCACACTTCTAACGGCACGTACCAAGGTGGCACCACTTAAAGTCGCTACCATTCCACGCCTGGAACTTGCGGCAGCGCTGCTTCTTGCCGAGACATTCCAGAACTTGCGAGATTCTTTGGGATTAGTTGACGTTCCCTACTATCTGTGGTCGGACTCAGCAATCGTATTGTGTTGGCTCAGGAAGGATCCAGCAACACTTAAACCATTTATATCAAATCGGGTTCGTAGAATACAGGAGCTGACATCCCCCGCCCGATGGCATCACATTCGTTCGGCTCATAACCCAGCTGATTGTGCCAGTAGAGGTATCACACCCGCCGAGCTATTAGTATATCCCCTTTGGTGGCATGGACCTAAAGAGGCAGAGATGATGTATGGGGACAGTAGTGATGTTCCTCTCAGCAAGGATGAGTCAAATGTCTTTCTCGCCGAAACCGAAATACAACCAAATTTATTGTACTCATTTCACATCCGTTGTATACTCGTCGTCCAAACGGACACGCTATTTTGTTAACTGAACGGTTCAGTAGTATCACTCGATTGTTGGGTACATTAGCCATTATACTGCGCTGGTTAAGAAGGCGTCGACACTTTCGTCAACCGGTGATCGTTGCTCAGGAGTTGGAAGACGCATTATACACTATAATCCGTTTAGAGCAAGAGGAACATTTTGCAAATGAAATTCGACAATTGACGTCTAGTTCAGGTTTGTCATCTTCCAGTCGGATAATACCTTTAAACCCATTTCTAAACAAGAACCAAATCCTCCGTGTGGGGGGACGCATCCACCAGGCCGAACTAGGGCATGATCAGCGATTCCCGATTATTTTGCCAAAGTCTACGCCGTTGGTCAAGCTTTTACTAAATCAGGCGCATGAGATTACACTGCACGGAGGCACGCAACTCATGCTGAACACTCTTCGTCAACGCTTCTGGATTCTGAGTGCCAGGCAAGCAGTCAAGAGTTTCATCCATAACTGCGCAGTATGCCGCCGTCATAGAGGGGAAGTCCTGAAGCAACAAATGGCTTCCTTACCCGGGCAGAGGATCAGAGCAGCAAGGCCGTTCATATCATCTGGTGTCAATTACTGTGGACCTTTTACGCTACGCATCGGAACGAAACGCTCTCGAACGCACATCAAGACGTACCTCGCAATATTCGTATGCATGGTTACCAAGGCCGTGCACATTGAGGTGGTTGATGACCTATCGGCACAGGCCTTTCTAGATACTTTTACTCGTTTCGTCAGCCGTCACGTTGAGAACCGGTAAACTATGTCTATTGATAGAGAAAGAAGAATTCGAGTCGACCGACTCGACCGGGCAGGATGTTTAGGATTATTTACATTAGTTTAAGATTATTTTCTGATAATGTCAACTCTAATCTGGCAATACTGTCTTATCTAAGCTTTATATACGTCATCTCTCTTTTATCATTCATTTGTCTTTGTAATTATCTTTGTTTACGCATACTTAAAGTTACGGTATTTTAAATTCCGTTGAACTCCTATAAATGTCAGAGGACTTGTATGTACGACTCTCTTCTCTGATTGTAACTTGGTGCTGATTGTATTCGTCTCTGGTTTGGTGTCAAGCCAACCGGTCACAATCGTTAAAATCCCAATAAAGCATTGAGAACTCTACCTGCTGGTAATTTAATTATTTAAAATATAGTAAAATATACAACAAAAACATTTTCATTCATGAACGCAGGCGTACTTTTAACAAGCAACCTCGCTTCATTCATAAAAACAGATATTAGAATGTTATCAGTTTTGCATGTTTTCATAAAATTTCGCAAAATAATATTCATATCAATAAATATGATTGCATATACGCGTATAAAAATATAAGCCAAAAGAGTAACATGCGGCTGTAAAATCAACGCAAGTCTCTGAGCATAATTTTTATTCAATGCTCAGCTCTGTTCACTCGTCACTGTTAAAATTTCTCCTTCCGAGCCGACTGTGGTGAAACGCGCTCATCGCATTTTGTTAGGTTTTGACAATTCACACGCTGGTCCGTAGTTGGACCTTCTATATATTTTACGTTCTCTGGTTCGTATTTGTTTGTCAAACAAATTTGAGTCTATCGCTTCTTCCTTGCACATTTCTCTGATGTTAGTCAGAAAGTAGTTAAGCAATATTTCTTGCACATGGTTTTTATAATTTCATAATTGGTAATGTCAATTAGTAAGTTTGGTGCTATCGCAAAGATACAATAGGGAAAGTGGGAAAGAATGTCATCCTTAAAGTGGAATATTAACTCTTCATCTATTCTTAGCGCGTTATTTACATTGGGTTTAGCTACTTGTTGTAGCTTTGTTAAAAAATATTGCTTATTTTTATAATAAAATGTGTGATGATTATTTGATTTTTGAATGAGTTCAAAGGTTGTTTCACCCTTTTTATTTGGTCTGTTGGAGAGCTCTGTCCTGAATGTTGAGAACAATCTGTTGTGTTGTTTATTTGTTGACGGAAGAGTGCGTCAGCTACTACATTTTGGTGACCAGGTTTGTGGACAAGTTTGGGACAAAATTCCTTAGTAAAGTTCTTCCAGCATTTTAGTTTAGTTTTGGGGTTTTTTAACGAAATAGAATGAAAGAGTGACTGGTGGTGGTGATTGCGGAGCTTCTGTAGCGCCCACACAATTGCAAGAAGTTCTTTTTCGTTTGTTCTGTAATTTTTTTCAGTGTCGGTTAACGTTCGAGAAATAAAAGCAAATAAAAGGTTGGCGAAATTGGGGGAAAACTTCTCCAATTTCTTCGTTATTGGCATCGGTAGTTAGTTCAAATGGTTTGGTAAAGTCAGGCTGATAAAGTTCTACCTGTTCCTGCAGAGCAGCTTTTATTTTTAAAATCTTTTGATATCATTCTTGAGTCACCTCGTAGGTGTATAGTTAGTGGTTTAGTGATTTGTGCGAAGTTTTTTACAAATTTGCTATACTAGCTAGTCAATCCTAAAAATGATCTGAGTTCTTTTAAGATTTTGAGCGTTGGGTACTCTTTTAAAGCTTGAATCTTTCTTAGATCAACCGTTACTCGGTTATGTTTAATTATGTGGCCAAAGTACTCAACAGCGTCCTGGAAAAAATGCGACTTTTCGTCCAAAATTTTCATATTAGCTTCATTGTTTATAGTTCGAATATGTTCTATGTGTTCTTCAGGCATAGAAGAAAATATTAAAACATCGTCTATATAAACGTAAGCAAATTTACCGATATATTGTCGCAAAATGTCGTCTACGCACCGTTGAAAGATTGAGGTTGCGTTCATAAGTCCAAACAGCATTCTAACAAACTCATGCTTTGCGCCGTTCACTGCAAATGCGGTTTTTTCGCGATCGGATTCCTTTATTAAAATTTGATGGAATCCTAATTCTAAATCAATGTGCGAGAAAACTTTAGCTTTACCTAAATTTTGAACTGACATACTAATATCAGGTGTAGGGTAGAGGTCTTTTGTAATATGTGCGTTAAGTTTTTGGTAGTCGACCACCATTCTCCGTTTAGGTCTACCATTTTGGTCTAATCCTTTCTTTGGAACAGTCCAAATAGGGGAATTGTAGGGAGTTTTACTCGGCTGAATTCTTCCATTTTCTAAATGCCTATCCACTTCTTTATTGACGAAATCATTGGTCTACCACGGGGTAAGGGTATTGCTTTGCCCAAATTGGATCTTCTGTTTGCGTCCTAATCGTAGCTTGGAAAGTGGTTGTAAAGGGTGTGCCACTAAGATTTTTATTTGCTTTCATTACTTCCTTAATTTCCTCTTCATACTTGGCATTATCTACAGTATAATTAATGAAAGGTTCCTTTTTTCTGCTATTTTCTTCCGGTACTTTAAACTATAATCAAAGAGGTCAATCTCTCCCTTAATTAATCTAAGACCTTGTTCACCTAAGATCATGTTGAATCCATTTAATTCGCCTATTTCAAAGAATACTAAGTGATGCCCGTACATTGTGATCACTTTCTTTGAATGTATAACCGAATGCCATGTAAAGTTTTTGTTCAAAATGGTTTTACTAATACTGACTTACCTATGTTACAGTTCTTACTAATGTAGTTATTTGTGGATTCAGTGTCCACTAGTAAAGTCACGGGTGTGCCTGTTAGTCCGCAGTT